TACTATTTCCTTCTTCTTTATAGCTGAATAATACTCCATTGTGTAAATGTACCAAAGTTTCTTAATCCAGTCATCTACCGATGGGCATTTTGGTACCCTATCTTTTGATTAGAGCATTTAATCCATTTACATTGAAAGTCATTGTTGATAGATATGTAGTTATTGCCATTTTATTCATATTTTGGGGTGTTTTTTTTTTTCTTAAAGAAAAATACTGGTTTGGTGGTGATGAACTCCTTTAGCTTTTTCTTGTCTGGGAAGATCTTTTTCTCTCCTTCAATTCTAAATGATAGCCTTGCTGGGTAGAGTAGTCTTGGTTGTAGGTCCTTGCTTTTCATCACTTTGACTATTTCCTGCCAATCCCTCTGGCCTGTAAAGTTTCTGTTGAGAAATCAGCTGAGAGTTTTATGGGAGCTCCCTTGTAGGTAACTAACTGCCTTTCTCTTGCTGCTTTTAAGATTCTCCTCTGTCTGTAACCTTTGGCATTTTAATTATGTTGTATCTTGGTGTGGGCCTTTTTGGGTTCCATTTTATCTCCATTGTCAGCTATGCTATTTTTTTTAGTAGTTGGACTAGGATTTACAAAATACATTCTTAGGGCCAGTCGAGTGGCTCAGTTGGTTAAGAGCGCAAGCTCTGAGCAACACGGTCGTCGGTTCGATTCCCACATGGGCCAGTGAGCTGTGCCTGAGCTGAGCTGCCCTGAGCTGCCAACAGGTGGCAGGGTGGCTCAGTGGTTAGAGCGTGTGCTCTTAGCAACAAGGTTGCCGGTTTGACTCCTGCATGGGATGGTGGCTACGCCCACCCGCAACTGAGATTCAATACTGGCACCTTGAGCTGAGCGGCCGTGAGCTGCTACCGGGCGGCTGGATGGTGACTGGAATTGGAGCTGAGCTGGCTGCGCCCTCCACAACTAAGATTGAAGGACAACAACTTGGCTCTTTCCTTTCTCCAATTCCCCAGCACTGTTCCCCTTCCCCAATTCCCCAATAAAATATTTTTTTAAAAAAACATCTTTTTAACTTACCACAGTCTTCTTTTATATATTTTCCACTTCAAGTATAATGTAAGAACCTTAAAACAAAATGTGTCCATTTCACTTCCCCATTCTTTCTAATGTTGTGATACATTATGCTTCTACATATGTTATAAACATCACAATGCACTGTGACTATTTTTGCCTTAAGCTATTCTTTTTTTTATTGTGGTAAAATATGTATAAAATAAAACTTGCCATTTTAACCACTTTTAACTGTATAATCCAGTGGCATTAACTACATTCACAATGTTGTGCAACTATCACTATTACCTGTTTCTAAAATGTTTTCATCACCCCCAACAGAAACTGAATCTATTAAGCATTAACTTCCCATTCCCCCTTTTGTGCCAGCCCCTGGTGACCTCTAATCTACTTTTTGTCTCTATGAATTTGCCTGTTCTAGATATTTACAATAAGTGGAATTATAGCATATTTGTCCTTTTGTGTTTGGTTTATTTCGCTTAGGTAAGTTTTGAAATCTGGAAGTGTGAGGCCTTCACCTTTGTTCTTCTTTTCAAGATTGTTTTGGCTCTTCTGGGCCCCTTGAAATTCCACATGAATTTTAGGATGGATTTTTCCTGTTTTGCAAAAACATTGTTAGGATTTTGATAGAGATCACATTGACTCTGTAGATCACTTTGGGTAGTATTGTCATCTTGACCATATTAAGTCTTCCAATCCGAGAACATGGGGTCACTTTTCCTTTTATTTATATGTTTTAAAATTTCTTTTAGCAATGTTTTGTAGTTTTCAGTGTACAAGTCTTTTTGCCTTCCTGGTTACGTTTAATCCTGAGTATTTTATTCTGTTTGATGCTATTGTAAATTAAAATAAGAAAGTTTTCTTAATTTTCTATTCAGATTGTTCATTGATAATTTATAAAATACAACTGATTTTTGTATGTTTTTGTATTTTGAAACTTTCCAATTTTTTTATTACCTCTAACAATTTTTTTTGTGGACTCTTCAGGGTTTTCTAAATATAAAATTAGTTGCCTGTGAGTAGAGATAGTTTTGCTTTTTCATTTCCAATTTGGATGCTTTTTATTTCTTTTTCTCTGGCTAGAACAACCAGTTCCATGTTGAACAGAAGTGGAAAAAACAGACATCTTTTCTTCTTATTCATCTTAGGTAGAAAGTTTTCAGTATTTCACCATTGAGTACGATGTTAGCTGTGGGTTTTTCATAAATGCCATTTATCATGTTGAGGAAGTTCCCTTCTCTTCATAGTTTATTGAGTGTTTTTATTATGGAACAGTGTTGGATTTTGTCAAGTGCTTTTTTTGATAATGCAGTTGAGATTATCCTGTAGGTCTTTTTCTTCATTCTGTTAATGTGATGTATTCCATTGATTGATTTTCATTTGTTGAATTACTCTTGCATTCCTGGGATAAATCCCTCTTAGTGATGCTGTGTCATCCTTTTAATATGCTGCTGAATTCAGCTTGCTAGTAATTTGTAGAGGATTTCTGCATCTATATTGATAAGGGACATTGGTTGATAGTATATTTTCTTGTAATGTCTTTGACTGGTTTTGGTATCAGGGTAATGCTGGCCTTATTATGAGTTAGGAATTGTTCCTTCTTCAGTTTTTTTTGGAAGAGTTTGAGGAGAATTGGTGTTAATTCTTTCAGTGTTACAATTCATCAATGAAGACATCTGGTCCAGGACTTTGCTTTATTGGAGGTTTTTATTACTGGTTCATCTCCTTACTTGTTATAGGTCCAGTCAGATTTGGTTTTTTTGAGGTTTTTTTTTTTTTAAGTCATATTTGGTAGCTTGTGTGTTTCTCAGGATATGTCTATTTCATCTAGGTTATCCAATTTATCAGTATACAGTTGTTCATAGTATTGGGTCGTCGGAAAAGTCATGACATATTTTCCTATGTTTTTTGTTGCAAAAATGCGTCATGACTTTTCCGATGACCCAATATTATCTTATAACCCTTTTTATTTCTGTAAGGTCAGTAATAACACTGTCTCTTTCATAGCTAATTTTGTATTTGGAGTCATCTTTTTTTCTTAGTGTAGCTAAAGGTTTGTCAATTTTGTCAACCTTTTCAAAGAACCAACTTTTGGTTTAGTTAACTTTATTTTATTTTTCTCTATTTTGTTTATCTCCACTCTTATTTTCTTCCCTCTGGGCTTAGTTTGCTCTTCTTTTTTCTAGTTCTTTAAGGTATACAGTTAGTTTATTGATTTGAGGTCTTTTTAATTTGTAGATGTTTACAACTATAAATTTTCCTCTGCATGCTGCTTTTGCTTGATCCAATAAGTTTTGGTGTGTTATGTTTTCCTTTTCATTTATTTCAAGGCATTTTCTAATTTCCCTTGTGATTTCTCCCTGACCAATTGGTTGTTTAAAAGCATGTTAATTTCTACATATTTGTGAATTTTCCAGCTTTTCTTTCTGTTATTCATTTCTAGCATCATTCCATTGTCATTGAAGAAGATACTTTGTATGATTTCAGTCTTAAAATTTACTGAGATTTACATGGCCTAATATATGTAGTCTATCCTGGAGAATGTTCCATGTGCATTGAGAAGAATTTTTATTCTGCTGTTATTGAGTGGCATGTTCTATATATGTCTGTTAGGTTTAGTTATTTATAGTGGTGTTCAAGTCTTCTCTTTCCTATTGATTGTCTGTCTACATGTTGTATCCATTATTGAAAGTTGAGTATTGAATTCTCCAACTATTGTTGTAGAGCTGTCTAGTTCTCTCTTAAATTCTGTCAATGTTTGCTTCTTATGTTTTAGGGCTCTGTTGTTTGGTGTATGTATTTTTATAATTGTTATATCTTCTCTGTGAATTATACCTTTTATCAATATATACTGTTCTGTTTGCCTCTTTTAACTTTTTGACTTAAAATCTACTTAGTCTGATAATAATATAGCCACTCCAACTCTTTTGGTTAATATTTTCATGGGATATATTTTTTTTCATCCTTTTACTTTTAACCTTTTAATGTCTTTGTATCTGAAGTGAATCTGTTGTAGACAGCATATAGATTGACCATGTTTTTTTTAATCCATTCTGCCAATCTCTGCCTTTGATTGAAGAGGTTAATCTGTTTACATTTAAAATAATTACTGATAAGGAGGGATTAGTTTCTGCCTTGTAGCTATGTTTTTAGTAGGTCTTATGTGTATTTTGTTCCTCAATTCCTCTATTACTGCCCTTTTTTTGTATTTGATTTTTTCCATTGTACCATTTTGCTTCCTTTCTTTCTTTTTCTCTGTATTCTTTAGCTATTTTCTTTGTGGTTACCTTGGGGATTACAGTTAATATTTAAATTTATAACAACCTAGTTTAAATAATAATACCAGCTTCATTTCAATAGTATGAAAACCCTCTGCTTTTTTATATTTCTGAACCACCCTCTTTATTTTGTTATTGTCACAGATTATATCTTTGTACATTGTGTGCCCATTAACAAATTTATATTATTGTTTTATGAAGTTGCCTTTTAAGTAAAAAAAAAATTTAAACATGCTGATCTGTCTCCCATTTTTTCTATAACCTAGTATTTACATCTAGAGATTTGAGAATAATAATCAGTTATTTTTATTTTTTGTAACAATAAATGAAATAGTCAATGTTATTGATTTTCTATTTCATTGTTTCAGATTGAGAGTGGGTTCAGTCGTGGGTTCAGCCAACATGTATTATAAAGTTCCTTCTCTGAGTGTGTTTCATCTAATGGTTTTAGTAACCATTGATGATCATTACCAAGATCTGTTATTTCATTAAAGGTTGCAGAATAGTGATATTTTGTCATTCATTCTTCCACTTTTATTTTTAATCTATTTTTAAAAGAATGTTGTTTTAGCAGTGTTTTAAATTTTTGTTTGCATTTTCTCCTTCCCATTTTGAAAGGATACTGCCTCATCTCAGGGAGACAGTCTTACAGAAACACAGAACAGATGAGACTCAATAACTCTGTTTGAGTCCTTTTAGTGCCCACGTTCCAACCTTTTATTTTTACTCCATTTGATCTCTTTAACTAAATTACCAACACGAGGAAAGTAAGAGGGCTTTGTATCTAAAATAGTTTTATATCATTCTCCAGACCAGGAAAACAGTCATCACTCTGGGGAACTTCTTAAATCATGCTTTCACTTAATTCTACAGCTATTCATGTTCTACGTGAAGGAACTAAAGGCCAAGTACTCTGTATTATCTGTTGCTATGTAACAAATTACCCCTCAACTTAAAAACAGTAAACATTTATCATCTCATTTTTCTGTTGGTCAGGAATCCGGTTGCAGCTTAGCTGGGTGCCTCTGACCTCAGGTCTCCCGCAAGGCAGTCAGGGTGTCAGCCAGGGCTGTGTTCTCATCTGAAGCTACTCAGAGAGGATCCACTTCCGAGCTCATTCATGGTTATCAGTAGAGTTCAGTTCCTCCCAAGCTATTGTCCAGAGGCCTCCCTCAGTTTCTTGTCACCTGGGCCGCTCTGTAGGGCAGCTCTCAGCATGAAAGCCCGCTTTCCTCAGCATAAGGAAGTGAGCAAGACAGAACTCCTTTGTAACCTAATTTCACAAGTGACATCCTATCACTTTTGTCATATTCTTAATTATTTGTTTTTACTAGCTGAGCCATCCTGCCACCTGTTGGCAGCTCAGCTCAGGCCGGGCATCGAACCGCTGTTGCTCAGAGCTTGCACTCTTGAGTGAGCTCTTTACCAACTGAGCCACTCGGCCAGCCCCTTCATATTCTTTTCATTAGAAGTAAGTCACTAAGTCCATCCCACTCAAAGTGAGGGGTTAAGCCAGAGCATAAATAGCAAGAGGTGGGGATCACTGGGGGGCATCTTAGAGGCCACAGACTCCAACGTATATAAACTGATAGCACCCAAGCCTTTGAGGCATTACATATCATACCATGCCCTGCGTACTAGAGTATTTTTTGCTCTTTGATACTGAAAATGGCCTCTTTGTTTTTGAAAGTCTCAACTATAGTCTATATTGTAGAACTTAGTGTCTGATCAAACCAGCTTTATTAGGTAAACTCTTTGTAATAACATAAGAGCATTTTCTTTCTTATAATATGTTCTCTTATTTTTGTTTTTTTCTTGTAGCCCTGGTTGCTGCTATGAAACAGCTATGACAAGATATTTTTATCATGGTCGTACAGAGACTGTGCGATCATGTACAACAGAAGCAGTCAGGTGGTGCCAATCCATGCAGGACCCTTCTACCAGTGTGAGTATTTGAAAAGGAAAAAATTCAGAGTTTGTTTAATTGTTCTAAAGGAAACGTGGCCTTTGAATAACTAACTTCTTTATCTCAGTTCTCCTGGATCAGTAAAATACTTTCAGACATTTTACCTGAAGTTTTCAAACCATTAGTTTATTTGCCAGTGACGTATATTCTTGAAAAGAATTGGAAACAGGGAAAACTGGAGAAGAAGCCCATTTGTGTCATTTTCTAGGCAAAGTATCTTCAATACCTTGACTATTCTGTTTTATTTAGAATAACACCAGTGAAATGCAGACTCTCTCAAAGTGCCTTTTAGAGGAAGCTTTTCTTGATGTGGTTGAATGTTTTTGAAACCGCAGATTCCTGTTTTCATATAGTTTTTATGTTTTGTTTTATATTTTTCTTTTGGAAGCATTTAAACAACAGGGTAGCTCCTTCCCAGTGCTATTTAGGTATTGCATTTGTTTCTTTAGTTTTGATCGACATAGTTATGTATATGTTAATTCATTTTAATTTCATATAACTGCCTCATTATCATTTTTGAACAATTATTCTTTAGTTTGAAATCATAGTTGTTTCTTTACACTTATTTTATGTAAAGAAAGTTCCTGTTCTCAGTGCTGCCCACAAGTTTCTGTTTTCCTCTTCCTGGAAGGAAATAAGCAAGAAGCAGGTTATATAGGAAAGAAAAGGCAGTGGAAGAAGTGGGGAAGACCCAGAAGTATGTGTCTCAAGGTCTTCCTAGAAAACCTTTTCTCTCTCAAATTACCCAAACTAATTACTTTGAGCTCAAGTTTTTTTTATTTGTTTGGTTTCTGTACAGTTATTGAAGTATCTCTTGATTTTTAATACAGCTTCTTGAGCGGCGGCGAAAGATGTTACAAGCTTTTGCAAAACATAATAAAATGATGCAAGAGTGTTCAGCTGGAAAAGGTACTTATATTGGAATTATTCTGACTTAAAAAAATTTTCTCATGTTGAAAAATTATTTTCTAACTGCAGATTTGGGGTTTCGTTGTAGGATTTGACCGACATCTTTTAGGTCTTTTACTCATAGCAAAAGAGGAAGGTCTCCCTGTCCCAGAACTCTATAAGGACCCACTTTTCTCCAAAAGGTAATATAATGCACTGTCTTCTAACTTAACCAGTTTCTTTTTTCCTGAGTTAAAAGCTCTTTAGAAACAATGTAAACTTCTGCAAGCCTAGTATAATAGCTTTTCTTTGTGTCACACAGTGGAGGAGGTGGAAACTTTGTTCTCTCAACAAGTCTGATTGGTTACTTAAGAATCCAAGGATTGGTGGTTCCCATGGTACACAATGGCTATGGATTTTTCTATAGTATCAGAGACGACAGGTAAGGCTGCCCTTTTTATTCCTGCTATTCTGTTGAGTAAGAAAGCTGTCATTTGTGTTGTTTGAACGTCTTCCCTACACTGTGATTCTCATTGTATTGTCATCTGTCACTTGCGAATGAGTAATTATTTTTACCACTGAGGAGTTTCATGTGTTTTTGTTTCTCTGTCCTACTTTTGAGGCATTTGTCAAATCAGTCCTTCAGGTATTTTGTGCAGAACACCATTTAAGGTTGACTCAGTGATCTTATCATCATCACCATCTTCGAAAATCATTACATGTATTAACATATTTGTTCTACCCAAAGTATTTTATTGTAAATTCAGTTAAAATTTGATAGCCTGTAAATACATGGTGTTTCATGAGACCAAGAAAAGAGACTAGATAAATTAATATGTATTATAAAAAAGTTTTACCAATTCAGATGCATTTCATTTGAGTTGTACTGGGGTTTGAAAGAGTAAGAAAGAAAATGTTAAAACCTGATAAGGGAAAGAGAGGTGGAGAACAAGGTAATACGGAATTGATAGAAAGACTTGGAAGGTCCTCGTTCACACAGTCTGGCAGTCTTTTCACAGGGGTCTTTCAAAACATAAGAGGCTTTATTAAAAAAAAACAACCATGTGGCTACATTTAGTACTATGGTGAATAAGAAGAAAGCAGGCTTGGAGGCACTGCTAATGGAATGTGAAAAATTGGAATCATATGTATGCCATATTTCAGTTCCTAATATATTTTCATACTTTTCCTTTTTTGAAGAGTTTATAGTCGGTGATATTTTTTCAAAATCTTAACCATCTGCTTCCATGTCAAGTGTGATAGTCTGTTACACCAGTGATACTTGAATTTGTTGGCATCTAGTCCTTGGATTATGAATTCCCACAGTATTCAGTGTGTGTACATTAGTCTACGGATTAAAGCTTGAATGACAAAGTTTAAACATGAATCTTATTATTCTTTCTTCTAATAGAGGGTCATAGGTCTGAAATGATCACCGTATACAGAGAATAAGTAAGCATTCTAACAGCGTCCCTGGCAAGTAGTGGATCCCATATTGCACGCAGTGATAAGAGTTTTGGCCAGATACACCTCAGCTCCCTGACTTTTCAAGAAACATGTTTAATGATCCTGGGCAGAACTCCCATTCACTCATTCAGAAAATACTTAGAACTTTGTGTGCCAAGGATTGTTTCAGGTGCTAGGGACACACGAGAGACAGGGCCCCTACTCCTGTGGAGTTTTATGTTCTACTTGAGAAAAAGGAACAAAAGCAAACAAACAAGCAGGATAACCTCAAATAGCGATGAATGCTGTGAAGGAAATAAGCAAGTTGATGTGGTAATAGCGACTAAGTAACTGGTGGGGAGATGGAACACTGCTTTATATGTGGTCGGGGAAGGTGTCTGAGGAGTGACAAGGAAGATGAGATGTTTAGGATGAGAAGGACTTAATCATATGAATAGCCAAGAAAATAGCTCTCCAGAGTCTGATCACTGCTTACTGTCTCCAGTGCTGCCTCTCAAGCTAAGCCGCTATCTTCTCCCACTTAGGTTATTGTTGTAACAGGTTCTTATGTGGTCTTCTTGCTTCTACCTTTCCTCCCTACAGACCATTCTCTACACAGCAGCCTGATGGTCCTTTTAAAAACAGAACTCAAGTCATTATCATTCTTCTACTCAAAACCCTCCAAGACTTCTCATTCCACTCACAGTAAAATCCAAAGTCCTCCTGTGAGACCCGACATGAACTAGCTCTCACCTCTCTGTCCTTATTTGTCTCCTCCAACTCTCCTACTGCCTCACTCCCCTCCAGCCACACTGGCCTCCTTGTAGCTTGAACATACAATCAAGCTCCCTCCTCGAGGCATTCACAGTCGTGTTTTTCTCGGCCTAGTACTCTCTTCCTTGAACTAGATGCAAGAATCACTCCCTTACTTGATACAGATATTTGCTATCACCCGAGAGGCCTTCTCTGACCATCTAAAATAGCACTTGCCCCTTTCCTACACAGACCTGTTGCATTTTAACACTTAAAACCACCAGGGTGTGTGTGTACTTGTATGTTATCTATCTCCCTTCCTAGAATATAGGCCAACAAGAACAGGGTCTTCGATTTGTTTGCTGTTGTATCCCCAGCTATGTAACGATGCCTCGTAAATATGGTACACTCTAAATGTTTTCACAGTGACGTTGTACATAAATATACAGGCTCTGGAGTAGGGACGAGCTTGACATTTATAAGAAAAGACAGAGGCAGTGTGACTATACATTAACGATTGAGTCGGAGGGTAGTAGAAGATGTTGAAGAGCGGTAGACAAGAGCTAAATCTTGTAGGGCAGTTTTCCCAACCCCGAGTGTACATTAGAATTACCTGAAGAGCTTTGTAAATAACGCTTCTGGATAATACTGATTTGGTTGGGGTGGTCAGCTGATATATGGCCTTATAGCATGATACGGAGTTTGGATTTTCTCCTAGGAATGATGGGAAGCATGTTACCAGTTTTAAGTATGAATGTTACATGTTCCATTTGCATGTAAAAAGGACCATAGGCCTGCTGTATGGCATATCAGTTAGGTAGACAGTAATATGGGCGAGAATGAAATGAGAGAAATCAGTTAGGAAGCACAGATGATAAGTTGAACAACATAGTTGTGATAATGAAGGTGGAGAGAAGTGGAGGGATTTGAGATATGTTTTGGAGGTAGAACCAGTAGGGCTTATTGATGGATTGCTGATTCTGATGGTGGCATTTACCGGGATGGAGAAGATTAGGGGAGAATGGGCTTGGAGATATGTTAGGGTAGAATCAAGAATTATGTTTGTAACACAAAGAAACTCATAGATACAGAGAATGTTTTGATGGTTGCCAGATGGAAGGGAGGTTGGGAGTAGGTGAAAAAGGGGAAGGGATTAAGAAGTACATATTGGCTGTTAGAAAGTAGTCATGGGGATGTGAAGTACAGCATAAGGAATATAGTCAATAATGTTGTAATAACTATGTATGGTGTCAGATGAGTACTAGATTTATCAGGGTGATCACTAGATTTATCAGGGTGATCAGGGTGATGAAGAAGTTACATAAATGAATGATCACTATGTTGTGCACCTGAAATTAATATAATATTGTATGTCAAATATAATTGAAAAACTAAAAATTATTTTAAAAAATTTTGCTTTCTACATGTTGACTTTGAGATTTCTGCTAATACAGGAATTTATTATATTTATATACAAGAGGATATGTCAGTAGGCAGTTGAACATATGAGTGTGGAACATAGAAAAGAGGTTAGGGCTAAAGGTATACATTTATGAGTCATTACTGTATCCACATGTATTACTGTATCCACATGTAAGAAATGCATGGAAATTGCCTGGAAGGGATTTTTTTCATTCATTGTGAGATGTGAAAATTGTATGATTTAAAGAAAACTGGTTATTTTTGAAATTGCATTTTGTTTTAAATGTGCTGCATGCTGATTGTAAAAAATTTGTAAAATATTGAAAAATTTAGATCATACTGTAAATATTTTAGTGTCCTTTTTGTGAACTTCATTCTCACTTAATATTTCGAGCAATTCCCAATGCCATTAAATATGCTTTGAGATATCTTAATGGTTGACTAATGTGTAGTCTTAAGGATTACCATAATTTAAGCTCTCACCTACTATTTATAATTTTTCATTATTACAAATAATGATAATATATCCTTCCTTATTTCATCACATCATTGTCAATGCTAAGGATTATAAAACATTCTTTACTAATTTATAGGCAAAAATAATATAACTTGAATTCTTTACTTATGAAGCAAAACGCTTTTTTCTGTTCATGGCACCTGTGTACATTCTTTTGTGAAGATAGTTATTTCTATCATTTAGAAAGATAACTGAATTTTTAAAAACTTTAACACTTAAATAAGAATTGTTGATCTTTGCAAAAAATAAAATAAATAAAATCTGATTTTGCTAAGTATTTGAGAATTATGTGCCCAGTGTAGCTGGAAAATGACTAGTGATACGAATCACTAGGTGAAAACAAGGCAAGACTTCCTGTAGGTTCCTGTGTCTCTTTCAGCAAATATATCCCCTCAAACACTGTATGCTGGGCCTGAGCACGTGATGTGAAAATTCCAGGTTGTTCACAAGCTCAACATTACACATTTTGGTTTTAAGTTGAGCTTAATGCATGTTTTGCTATAGAAAATTTGAGTGTCTGGAAAGGAGGCTAGTTCTAAGAGAGCCAGTAGCCCGATTTCAGCTCTGAGCCCACTTGAAGGCAGAGTTGTTTTCTGTTTCCTTCAGCGTCTGGGGTCACTTTTATCACCTGCCAGCCAGAGGATTTCTTCATCAGGAAGACCTAGAAGGAGATGGTGGAAGATGCTCCCACGAGAGTTTCTCTCTGGCTTTTCTAGAAATAGCGTTTTTCCTCCTCTTATACTTCTTTCTCTATTTTATTATAACTTTTATACTCTCCTCAAGTGCTATCTATATTCCTTTAAAATAGTTCAAGCTGCATCGCAAAAAGTGACATGAATTTGTATTCCACCTCATTCCATTTAGAGCACCTTAGGAAGTTCTTTTTTAGGAAGAGGTGGGTTTGTTTGCTTGTTAAATACAATCAGACCTTATTCCACAGCCCCCTTGAGCTCTGGCTAGTTTTTTTTCCCATTTGTCCATAGTGTCTAGTCACATAGTAAATTAGGTGTTCCTAGCATTGTGTATATAACTTTCCATTGTGTCAGGTTACATTTATCTAATGTCACCAAGAATGCATATTTCATGTATGAACAGACAAGGAATAAAGGTCATGGCTGCATTCACTGTCACCATTTGGTGCCTTTCTGTGTTGTGGTTTTTGCATAGCACTTAATCACTTATAATTTGTGCTTCACAGGTTCGTTGTGGCCTGTTCGGCCTGGAAATCATGTCCAGAGACTGATGCAGAAAAACTAGTTCGGCTGATTTTCCGTGCTTTCCATGACATGATGCAGCTGATGAACTCTGCTTATCTTTAGAGAGTATTCATGAAGCACTTAACCAAAATACATCCTTTAAACTGGGTGCTGGGAGTAGGCTGCTGAGGTGAGACTTGAAAGAAACCTGTTAAGTGTAGAAATTTATAGAATCATGCTCTCTAAATTTATTCTGACATAGAAAGTAGAAATATTTTTAAGCTTCCTCTGATGCAGCAGCAATGCAAATATTATGACATAGTGAATACAGAACTATGCAAAGTTTAAGATAAGCCTCAACAATGCAAATCTACAACTTTTAACAATGCAAGTCTTATTCTAATTTTTCAATATTTTTGTTGGTACCTGCATGGGTTATAAATTATCTCTCTAAACATTGTAGAGTCTATCTTTCAAGCACTTTAACATTTTCTAGTTGCCAGTGAGTGTGAAATACACGATTGGATGCTCATTTCCTTGAAATCTGTCTCCCACACATCGCAGGAATACAAGCCTACTATATTTGGGAACAACCACTACAATTTAATGATCTAACAGAAAAAAAAAAAAAGAGTTTCTGTTGAACACACAGAATTAAGTTGTAGAAGGGAGGTTTACGCCCTCTGACACACAAAAAAAAGCCCTAACAAAATGCATTATAGTATATTGTAATTAGTTTTGTGAATATAAAATTAAAGCACTTATATTTAAAAATAGTTGTCAGTGACTTTAAGAGGATTAAATATTGAATATCAGAATCTCAGGATTTTACAGTTTTTTCTCCTCTCTTCAGTTTTGTAGTTTTTACTCTTAGAAAGTAAAATTCTCAAAATCATATAGTTTCTTGTTTTGTGTTTGAATAAGTGATTCATTCTCATTTGACTTTATACTTTCTGATCTCAGTTATGTATTGTTGTGTAATAAACCAGCCAGAACGTACTGTCTTTTCAACAATTTATTTCTCATGATTGTGTCAGTTGATCGTGCCCATTTGGATGGCTCTGCCGCTCTCTTGCCTGAATTATTCAAGCAGCTGTAGTCGCCAGGCTGCTGGCCTGAGGCTGGTACTGGTACGTCTAAGATGGCTTCACACACTGCCTGGAGACTTGGTGGCTGGGACTCTCCACGTGGTGCCTGATCAGTCAGTATTGTAGCCTGGACTTCTGTACTTGGCAGTGGGGGTGTTCTAAGAGGGAAAGGTGGGAGTTGCAAGGCCTCTTGAGGCATAGGCTCTGAAGTCACATTGAATTCACATGATGTCACTGCTTTTGCATTCTGTTGATTAAAGCAAGTTACAAGGGCAGTCTGGATTTAAGGGGTTGGAGGAAAGTCTCATCTTTTGATAAGAGGAACAACAAAGTCATTTTGTAAATATAAATGAGTGGGCACAAGCTGGGACATGCTTAATTGGGGGCCATTTTTGTAGCAATCTGCCACATAAAGATTATATGTAGTGTACTGTTTGTATGTCCTTTTTGTTCTTAAATTTACATATATTCTGAATTTGATAAGGCTGGTTTATCATTATTATTTCTTTGTGAAAATATTCAGATTTGGCTTCTGTGGCATTTGATGGATCCAAAAGTTACTACAGAATGGGGGATGAAAGCTGAACTATGCACCTTTTCCCGCACTGGTACAATTTTATAGACTAAATTTCCAGGCCCTTTAGAGTCATTTGGTTGATATTGTTTTTAAATAATATCTAATGAGTTGGGTATTTTAGAAAATGATCACCTCCTGCAGAGAAGCCTCTTTTTACTCCCAGTCTAACATGTTTTCCCTACATGGCCTGAAGTTAAAAATCATCACCTGGAATGCTTTTTAGAGAGAGATTCCTGGGCCTCAACCAAGACCTACTGAGTTAATTCCCAGTGACCCTCGTCAGGCAAGTGTGGGAACAAGAGCGGGCCGAATTCTGCTCCCCTTGACTCACTGTGCTGACGTTCCCCTTGCCCTGTTCTCTTGATTAATCTGAATTTCCGTTCACTGATACACATGCTCACTTTTGAAACATTCTTTGGTAATACAACATACGGTTTATTACAGATAGAAGGACTTGGTTTGACTAGTTTACTGACCTAAACAATGTGTCACAGCAATGAAAATTGATATTGCTGCAGTAAATTATGGGGGAAAAAACAGTTCCATGTGATTATGTTGCCTGGGATATTTCTTTCTGCTCTTTATCTAAACGTATTTCTTCTTGTCAGAAGTGGATTCATCTTCTGGGAAAATTTGGATTCATATTCTGGGAAAATTAGAATTATTTGTAAAAAGTAATGCAGCTGCTATAGAAACAGCATTTTATTGTTGATATTTCCAATAGTGCAATTTGTAATGAGATAACATTTGTAATTTTTATTCATGAATTTTAAACATTTTTTAAAAGAAATAATATGTCTCTTTCTTGCATTATGGAATAAATGTGTGCCTGCAAAGTTACATTGTATAAGGAAAATTTCAGTTTCTCTTGGGCTTTGATGATAAAGCTGGGAATATAGTTGTTTTTAAAAACTTAAATTCCCCAATAAATTTGGAAACCTGCCAAGGAAGAGAGTAGGCTTTTGAACAATTTATTTCTCCTTTGTACTTGGGAAAATTGTTCCTAAACCATCCTGTCATCTACCCAACTATTTAGGACCATGAGAATTTTCCATCTGTGATTTCTATTAATTCTATGGCTTTCCACACCTGAACTTTGCCCTTCTTTCTCTCTGTTTCTGGGAACTCAGGAAGAGCTAGGCTGTTTTCTTTCATTTTTCACCAAGAAAGCTGTCATTTATAACGCCGAAATTTCAAATGCTGTTAACACCAAACCCCAAATTGGATGTTCTTTTGTAAATTGATCTGGAATAAGGCATACGTACATTTTATGAAGACTTAAAGACTTCTTTTACAAGTCAGCAAAAATTGGAGAATGATTTATTTATAAGATTTAGTGTATAACAAGAGTTCATAAGTTCTGCGTCCCAGCCTGGACACTGACCATGGAAAAGTAGATGCCTTTCTGCGCCAGCAGCTGCTGGTGGGTGCCGTGCTCCCTGACGCTGCCGTTCTGAAACACCGCTATTAAGTCTGCGTTCTGGATGGTGGACAGGCGGTGTGCGATCACAATGCAGGTGCGGCCTTCTCGGGCCTTGTCCAGGGCCTCTTGGACAACCTAGTGATAAAAGCAGAACAAAAGCCTTATCTTAAAAATTATATAAATAAATTTTAAACATTCAATGAAATTTAAAAATTTTACCATCCAAGCCAGAAAATGTCTTTCCTTCCTTGTCTCTTTGAATCTTTGGCTTTATGCATGTGTATTTATATAATTTGACATTAGTTATGTTTTTAATTATAATAAAAATAGATTCTTACTCTAAATCTTCGCAAGTATTTAAAATTTCTAAAAGTAATATGTGATCATTTTAGAAAAACAGACATACTGGAAAGAATAAAATATTCGACATCAAAATAACTACTGTCTAATGTTCTATTTACTTCTTTCTTACGCTTACATATTTTTTTCAAAATATGTTGATGGCACACACACACACAGAATTTCCTCTTTTACAAATTAAATGAGACATGAGGTGGGAGGCCGTACTTTTTCACTTTCAGTATCCAGAGCTGATGTAGCTTCATCCAACAGGAGGATTCGAGGTTGTCTGATGAGGGCGCGGGCAATTGCGATCCTCTGTTTCTGACCTCCTGAGAGCTGAGTCCCCCTATCTCCCACTCTTGTTTCATATTTCTGCAAGTGAGCCATTAATAAAATTAATAAAGTTCTAACCCAGAAAAATTACTAATGCTATACTGAATAAACTTCCACTTTGTAACATTTGACAGTTGTATTTATAAGGAAAAAATATTTGGAACCATTAAAAAGTTTCTAGAGCAACTACATAGTTGTCCATTTAATATTTTCCATTTAACAGGCTGTTCATTTCCAAAATCAAAATAGAAAAATAGTGACTTTAGTTCTCAATGGTATTTTGCAACAAATTTTCGGATTTCTACCATTACCATAATGTCAATTGGTCTGATGTCATTAGAGTCCTAAAAAGGTTAAATGTTAATATTTAAGGTTTTTATGTTTGATGTATTCCTGTGACCTACATGGAACCTAGCTTTTTCTCTTCAACTCATACGTTCACTTAAGTAATTACCGAGTATCTGTTATGCCAAGAATTGTAGGAAATACAAAAAATGAATTTAACTTTGTTCCTACCCTGAAGGAATTTATAATCTAAAGATAAAATACATAATACAGCATTTAATATAAGGTCAAGTAAGTACCAAATAAGTAGTATATACAACATGCTATGAAAGATAAGAAAAGGAAGTCGAAATTGTACAGATAAGGCAAGAGAAGAAGAGGAGATAAAGAAAGATACCTTTGTAGAGAAGTTGAGAAGCTGGATATTAAGAGAACATTCTAAACCAAAAACAGAATGAATAAAAGTACAAATTGAGTCGGTTCAGTTTATAGTGAACTGAATCCATTGTAAGAACTTCATGTGAATTAATGTCTTAAAGTTCAGTGTCAGCTAAATTAAAAGCCGAAGCTTTGAAGTTTTTCTGTTCACAGTCAAATCAATATTTGAATGACTTTGGTAAGACGAAACAACATGGACGGTTTTAAATTTTATTTGTGAATGTGACTTCTAGTCATAGCAATATAAGAGTAAAAATAATTTAAGCTGTATTTTAGTTTAATCACGTGGAACTGCAGATGCTAGGTGAGTGCCACAAAAATGAATGATTCCTGCCCTCAGCATTAGGGATCTCAAGTCATCTTTCGAGGACTACTCATGTTTACCAGTTGCTGAAGAGAATTATTTCATTGAACTCTTACCTTAGATATTTTTCAAATCTGTATTGACTTCACTGCACTTTGGCCACAATCATAGCAGCCATGAGGTAATAGGGAGTGTTGGGGACCATGGAAACTGGAGAGTACATGTCTTCTCCAGAGGAATAAAATAACCTTATACCAACATTAACCCAAAATGGAACATGGACTTAGTATAAAATGTAAAACCATAAAACTTAGGGAAAAGAAACAAAATCTTTAGAACCTAGGGTTAGACAAAGAATTCTTAGATTTGACAACAAAAGCACAATTTGTGAAAGGTAAAATTGATGAATTGCACTTCATCAAGATTAAAAACTTTGGCTCTGCAAAAGACCCTGTTAAAAGGGTTAAAAAAAATAGATTGGGAGAAAATATTTGCACACTACATGTCTGATAAATATGTAAATAACTAGAATATATAAAAATCTGTCAAAACAGTAAAAAAAAATCCAAATAGAAAATGGGCAATAGACATGAAGAGACATCTCACCAAAGAAGAAATATAGATGGTAAATAAGTACATAAAAAAATGTTCAACATCATTTGCCATTAGTAAATGCAAATTAAAACACTATGAGATGTCACTATACATCTATGAGAATGGTAAAATATGACAATAAAATCTGGCAAAGATAGAGAAACTCACTCACACTTGCTGGTGGAAATGTAAAATGGCACACAGCCACTCCGGGAAATCATTTAGCAATTTCTTATAAAATCAAACATGCAATTACCATATGGCCCAACAATTGCACGCTAGGGCATTTATCCCAGAGAAATAAAAACATAGGTTCACACTAAAACCAGTACACACAAATTTATATCAGCTTTATTCTTAATAGCCCCAAACTGGAAACAACCTAGGTATGCTTAAACAGGTGAATGGTTAAGCAAACTGTGGCACATCCATATCATGGAATACTACTCAGCATTAAAATGGAATGAACTATTGATACAGGAACTTCAGGGAATTAGGCTGAGTGAAAAAAAGCTAATCTCAAAAGGTTACATACTGTATGGATGTTTATATAACTTTTCTTAAAGTAGAAAGTTAAATGGAAAACAGTTAGTGGTTGCCAGAGGTTGTAGGGGAGTGAGGGTGGAAATGTGGCTTTAGAAGGGCAACACGAGGGATCTTTGTGGTGATAGAAATGTTCTGTATCTTGACTGTGATAGTGGATACATGTCTACACAGGCAATGAAATTGCATAGTACTAAATACATACATATACAAATACAAGTAAAACTGGAGAAGTCTGAATAAGATCAGTGGATTGTATCAATGTCAATGTCATAGTTATTTTGCAAGATGTCACTGGAGGAAACTAGGTAAAGGGTAAATAAGATTTCTCTGTTCCTTACAACTGCATCTCAAAATAGTGTGTAATTAAAAATGAAAGTACCATAAGGGATTAACCAAACATGGCTGCAGTCTGAATGCATCCCATAGCCACCAGTTTGCAACCTGAGATATGCTGCATTGATTTATCACATTATTTGCTTCTCACTGCATTTGTATGAGATAGACATGACACAAGGAAATTTGGTATCATGAAGTTCAGTGTCTTGTCCAAGGCTACAGTGCTTAGTAAATAGACACATTCTGTTATAAGGCTTTGTTGGAGTATAACTTCAGGAACTGTTTTGTGGAGGAAAGCTAGCTTCTGATTTCATCCTAAGAAGTTACCAGTTAACTTACCTGGGGTAAGGTCTCGATGAAAGAATGGATGTTGGCCGCTTTGGCTGCACTCACAATCTCTTCCTGTGACACGACCCGGCTGTTGTCTCCGTAGGCAATGTTCTCGGCAATGCTGTAGTCAAACAGGATGGGCTCCTGGGACACGATGCCCAGTTGGGCTCTGAGCCACTGGATGTTGAGTTTCTTTGCTTCTTGGCCATCTAGGAGCTGAAAACCAAAGCCCACAAACTATAAGAAGGGCTTAAAAAGGAAAAAAAACCTAAGCAGTAAGTTACTAGATTAACCATTTGGAGGATTTTGTTGCATGTGGGCATAAGCAGTTTGTGAAAATACCACGCCTCAAAGCCTTTAAGCACTTACATTGTTGGCAACATAGCCAACAAAATGATTTTTATGATGATTAGGCCATCTCTTTCTTGGTGTAACTGGCACAAAATGGTAGCATGTTTGGCCCTGTCTTTCCACATTCCTCTCTTTGTCCTTATCTGCCCTCTTCCAGGCAAGTGTATTTATCCTCTGCCTGTAAGAAGCCTGCAATTAAGTGTCCTATTCATATCTGCTGTCCTCTGATAGAGTCCCATCTTTCCACTTGCCTTTGTCCCCCTCCTGCAGGCATACCAGAATAAAAGCAGATCAGTAGCACAGGCCCAGATGCTCAAAGGTGGTCACTCCTGTCCTACCTCTACCTCACTGTCTCCTGAGAATAACCAGCCTTAAACATTTGCCTTTCTGACAACACTATAAAGACAAAAGTTCAAGGGCAAGTGAACAAGCTCTAAGGGCAGTGTCTTTGGGAGAATGGTTTTGTTGGTGGTATTTTATTTTTTATTTGCTATACGCAGGGGGCATGATGCTTCTAGAGGAGCCTTGTGATGTGGTAACTGAGCATGCAGCTCCCTGCAAGGTGCAAGTCACCAGTGAAGGAACAGACACAAGTCCAGCTAGTCTTGACCTCTCAATAAAGAAAGCAATTCCCATCATGGTACTAGGATACCATGCCTACAGAGTGTTTGCCTGTATTCATACCTGCAGAGTAATTATAATAGTGGAAGCATAAGATCTCCCCCCCCCCCAAAGAAACAACCGACCAAGGTTTAACACTTTGGTGACCGGCTACCTCAGTATGCCATCCCAAGGTAATTGGAGAGGCAGACATTATCAGTAAGGGAGGAGTCAAGCCTTCACTTATGGAAGAGAGCCAGGGGCTAGATACCAGAAAACTCAATGATGAAAGCCAAACGAAGGGCTAGAGGTCAAGATAAAAGTCAAAGTCGGAGAGCCTAGAGTTCAGGGTCAGAGAGACAGAGCAAAGCAGAAGAAGGTGGGGAGGGAATCAGCTGGCACTAGCCTATCCTGGGAGCCTACTTGGAATTCTGTCAGGAGTTGGTGGCTTAGCTTTTAAACCAGAATCAAGCTGGTTTAAAAAGCTCAAAAGCCCATGGCAGGGCAGGGGTCAACTTCATAGTATTTTCTGAACTAAATTCCAAATGTTCTACCCGCTTGTCCCCATATATATGTCTGACTATGGATGACAGTTCAAGGTTTATAGAATGTGGTTATTATATCAAACAGGATTATGGGTCTTGCCCAGTGTTTTCACTATGGGAATATTGGCTTAGCCACTTGACGTATATCGCCTTAAATCAGGTTCCTAATTTAAGCAAGTGTCCTCACCACTTTTCCCGTCAAGGGGTCGTAGAACCTTTCAAGGAGCTGGACCACCGTGCTCTTCCCGCAGCCGCTGCTGCCCACCAGGGCCAGCGTCTGGCCCTTCTTCACCTCCAGGCTCAGCCCCTGAAGCACGGACACGTTTGGCCGGGTGGGGTAGTTGAACACGACTTCATTAAATGTTACATTTCCTTCAAACTTACTCTAGAAAAGAATTTTTTTAATATTGCTATTGTAATTGTTCTGATAATTATTGGAACAAAAAGTATTATTTCAAGGAAACTTGACCAAAAACTGTAGTAGAGGAACATAAAATTCACATTCAGTACAAGTCCTGGTACCAGATAACATCAATAGCAAGTTGTTATATAAAATGAAGAAGGGAGATGGCGGTCTAGGTTAGATTAGATAGTCACGGTGTAGAGAGCTGTTGCATAACCTTGATTTCTGATTAAGTTAAGACAAATATTTAGCTTTCTCAAATGATGGTTTTGAGCCTGGAGCCAAGTCAGTGACCAAAGGCCCAAGGCTTGGAATTTAGAACAGCTTCTACCTGCAGGCTCAGTGGACAGCCCTTGTCTCAAGCCCTGGAAGCCGCCTTCTCTCACCGTGTTTATCTCATTCACCAGGCACAGCAGTTTCCTTACATGAAATACCTGGTCAAGTCCTGGAAAGATTGTGTAAGGCCCCATCCCTTTCCTTACACTGCTTCTCTTGCATTAAAATGAGCAGCAGCTGGTGTCATGCAAAGAACATCCGATCTTAAGTGTGAGTTAACTTTGGAGACAGTGAAGTACAGGATTATTATTCTTACTGTGAATAATGTGGACTTTTTACCAACTGTAACTCAGTCATTACAAAGTATGATTAAAGCCAAATCACTAACTGAATTTACATACAGAATTAAATGCATATACTTTCATGCAGAAATGATTAATGATGTTCATGAAAATTATCCAGTTCTAGTACATGTGGATTATTTGTTTGTTTTACTTTTGATATGCTAAACTTCAGAATCCTTGAAACCCCCTAAGATATTTTAAAATGCCAAAAGAGTTGGCCAGATATTAGCCCTGTAACTATCACAGAGATAAATAAATGTCAGTGTAATCACTACGAATTGATCCCGTAGTTATAATCAAGCAGACAGCAAGCCTTTAGGAAAAAATTAACCAAGCACTCATCAGGCAGCAGGGAACTCACAGGCCGTAGGCCTTCTTCACTGTAGCTGTCAATCAAAGGTTGTCTTTCAAACAGCATGAATAAGTGAGCTGCAGACAGCTTGGCTTTAGCATAGTCTGGAGCAAAGGAGCTAGCATGTCCAAGAGCCACCGCGCCAAACACAATTGCTGAAAACACCCTAGACCAGAAGGACAGGAATTCAAAAATTAGCTTGTATAATCAGCTCCATATGTCTGAAAGTCTAAAAACATACTGCTAATCAGTACCGATTTTATTTTTTTAATCCCTTAGTCATGCCCCCACCCCATACACATTCCCAGCAAATTCCGGTGACAAAGGAAATCTAGAGTGAAGGTAGATCGCTGCCAAGGGTTCCTTTTTACCTCTACTGCCTCTGGCTTCCTTTGGAAGCCTCTCATTTCCTGGAGTTAATGGAACTTTCCAAAGTTGTTCTCTTTCAGGAAGTGGCTCATAAGTGAACCTGATTTGTGGTCTCAAGTAATTTTAGTAACTAGTTCTACCCCTTTTGTAAGTTGAGGGAGCTGAAGCATGGAGAGCTTCAGGGACTTGATCAACACCGGACATGGAGTGATGTTTCCTATGCAATCTATGGCCCTGACTTCCAGTTTGTGGGTTTTTTCTGCATTCCCACACAAATGATAGTCATCACTGTAAAGACTTTTTATTAGGAAAATGAGTCTTGACTAGAAATAGCTTTCCTCTTACAATTAAAGTAATTAATGACACTACCCTGAAAAAATGATTGTCCTAAGCTAAAGGTCTATTTTCCAATTATATAGTCTTTAAAGAATGGATATAGATTATAACAACTTTTAGGAAGGGTTAAAGATTCTGAGGATCTACAGTCCCACAAAGCTACTTACTTCCCCAGAGAAAGGGGAGGGAAGGGGAGGAAATTTCCTATCTAGTAATAATGGAGAACTTAAAATTTTTCATCTCCCCAACTTCCTAAATCTAAGATATTAAAACGTGTTTTAAGTACATGGGGATGGGCATGGTGGGTATAGTAAGTCTCTCCCTTAAATACTTGGTAAGGTTGGTTAACCAAAAATTAAATTTCAAAATAGTGATGAACAACTCATATGTAGCTGCCTAGCTTTAGTGTACACCTGTAATCTAGCTTTAGTACGAAACATTAAAACAGTGTCTTAAGTTATCTAGAATAAGTTATCTAGAATTCAACATTTTAATGGTAAAAACGAAACAACAAAAAAGCAGGACCGCTTTTTCATCTCGGCTGTCAACATGCCATCAAGACTGAGGAAGACCCGGACACTTAGGGGCCACGTGAACCACAGCCACAGCCTAATCAGCAAGCACCCAGGAGGCCAAGATAATGCTGGTGGCCTGCATCACCACAGGATCAACTTTGACAAATATCACCCAGGTTACTTTGGGAAAGTTGGTATGAGGCATTACCACTTAAAAAGGAACCAGAGCTTCTGCCCAACTGTCAACCTTGATAAACTGTGGACCTTGGTCAGCGAGCAGACACGAGTAAATGCTGTCAAAAACAAGACTAGAGCTACCCCTGTCACTGATATGGTGCGATCGGGCTACTACAAAGTTCTGGGGAAGGGAAAGCTCCCAAAGCAGCCTGTCATCTGAAGGCCAAATTTTTCAGCAGAAGAGCTGAGGAGAAGATTAAGGGTGTTGGAGGGGCCCGTGTCCTGGTAGCTTGAAGCCACATGGAAGGAAGTTCATTAAACTCAAGTGTTTTTCTCAAAAAAAAAGCAGCACCAATTTTCTCAGTGATACATTTCTAGAAAATAAAAAATACTCCAAGTTGTAATTCCCAGAGCTGGATATTTCCATTTGGCCCCCCAAAACCACTTTCTACTCTCTACCCACCTCCGTTTTGTACTATAGTCCGCCAGAGGCCAACCTTCATAGACTGCAGCAAAAGGTTTTGTGTCCTCTGGCTTCTGATGGGGTTTGGCAATGAAAGGCACTAGCAGGGGATGGGAGGGCTGGAGGAGAGTGAGGCCGGGGTATTTGTTTGGCTTCTTTCTTGTTGGATTGTTGTGTAGTTGGTGTCCCTCCGCCAAAGACCACAGAAGGCCCCTATGCTGGGTTCTGAAAATCTTTGCCTCCTCCCACCCTTTAGGTTCAGGGTCTCAGCACTTCCCAGCTGGAAACTGATGAGGTGGTAACAGCTCCTCTTGGTACTGCTTTCCTTAACACTTCTCACACACACCTTTATAAATATCCCCTTCAGCAAACTCTCCTCAATTCCCCCATTTGCAGGGCCATTTGGGTCTTGATTGATACAAGATTATACAGAGGGTGCCAAAAAAATGTATACACATTATAAGAAACGAAAAAACTGTATTAAAATGGTAATACAATGAATGACACTAGCATTCATTTGATTAATGCCATCTTTTGAACGAACATCATACTACACATTGCTACTATCATTCAATTCAACTTCGAAAAGTAATACATGGATAACATCTCTTAAAATGTGTACCTTTTTTTGGCACCCCTGATATATACTTTTCCCATGATTATTTTAATTTGGGATGCAAATAAAAAAAGTCTCTTAAACACTTTCACTTTCTTTGTGTTGACCCTGTTAAAGAAAAATGGTTGCTCACTAGTGCTTTAAAATCCATCAGAGCAGAAATATGCCAAGTGACCTTAAAAAGAATGGCTTCCTTTTGGCAAGACTAGGCTGCAACCTAATTGAATGTAGTTAGCATATTTTGAAAAAAGTAATGCATCAATTAGACCATTGTTTAGTCTTGAAAACCAAGAAAATAGGGGCTAAGAGGCAGATGTTGGCAGGGTCATACCAAGCCTGGTAGACTGGATAGAACCTCTGCTAGACCTCAGTCAAGCATTCCCAACCCATTGTCAAGGCCCCCTTGGTTGCAGGTAAATAGCAAGCTACTTGACCCTCTGTTTTGAGTCTGTGGTCACTAGCAACTTTCTAATTATGATTTATTTCTGCCTACATTTTACAATAAGGAAATTTGCCATCTTACTGACCATTCAATGCATTACTAAAATTTTGGTTTATGATTATTTTCATGAGCTTGGTTAATTTTAGCCTACTCAATGATTAAACTAAACTTGGAGTATTGGCAAGATCAGATTTCTGTGGTTGATTCAACTCTCCAACCTCATCTTAGAACAAGAGTTTCTTTTCCTACTCTAAATTTTTACATAGACCTATTAAAACCTTAATATAGAATAATCTTAATATTTTTAAAGGTACTTACAGAATAACATCTCTGAAGAGCATCTGTCCATTCACAATGAGATAGGCACCAAATCGAAAACAACCGGCATAGGAAAAATACATAAAT